ATTCTAATGAAAATAATAATAAATGAGAACATGCGTACTGTTGCTTACAATACATGATTTATAATACTTAAATGTAACCGAAAAACTATGTTCTGTATGGCTTTCAAGTGTAAGTTATAAGGAAACTGTGAGGTTAATATATGTATCTCTGATGGAAACAGAATTTTCCTTCAAGTTTCCCCACCTTCAGCTTTCCTAAATACAAGTATTCCATGTATGTCACAGTTCACAATGTTCAGTGCCTTTAGTTAAAGATGTGTTTCATGTGAAAGAAAGGTTATGACTTTCCAGGCACTGGTGAGAAACTTTCTCCAGATAAATAATTTGCAACCTAATCTCTTGTACTCCAGAGCTGCAGAGGCTCTTATTCGGTTTTTTTTTGGAAAGGGTGAGGGACCAAGTTTAACCTTTAAGTGCCGAAGTGCCCCGTTTGTGCCAGTGGTGAGTAAGGTCGTCGTGGCCAAAGTACCCAGTTTTGGCCATTCGGGCATTTAAACTCCGCTAGGGGAAGCGCGCGCACACGCCGCTAGTAGAAGCGAATGCACAGTCCTAATTATTTATTTTTAAATGTAGTAATTACCAGACAGACTTGAGTAAAGCCCTAATAGAAAAATTGAAATGATACCTAGGTGAACAACAACAAAAAGAGTATACGTATGAGTTATGCCCAAACTCATCCACGAGCCAGTACTTTTATTGCAGATTCTGCAGTGTAATGTGTTAAAAATATACAGTAAAATTTGATGTACATACCTTTTTTGTTGTTATCTGCTTGATGTATATCTAGGCTGAAATAAAACTACAGTATTCGATTTCACTAAGCACGCACAGAAAACAGACCGCACTCTGAATCTCAGCCGCGATGCAGCTGTGTGTTCAGGCCCATAGAAAGGGCAATAAGCTTTTGCAGCTATAACGGAAGGTCTTAGAACTGAAGAAGGGACCCCTCTAGCTTTCTCTTGAATACCCATTCTTTCATTCTTCTGTCCTTCAGTCAAAAGATTCGAAAATCGGAAGAGTGTAAGCAGTGCTAGCAGAAGGCCAAATGATTTTATTGCTTCCATCTGTTTTATGACATCAGGGACTGCTAAAATTTGTCAAGTGTTACAAACAGAAATGAATTTGTAATGCAGAACAACTCTATGAAGAACTGGGAAATCATTTTTGCAGTACTCATCAAAATTAAAAACAAAAATTTGTATAAAAGTTTCAAATCTTCCGTTATAATATGCGACAGTATGTTCTTTGCTGATACAAACAAAATTAATTCCATCCATTTATCATAAAAATTGAGTTAGATACAGCATTTTTAAACAATGCTTAAAGTTGTTTAGGCGCACTAACAGGAACGGACATTTAAAGGCAGAGTAGCAACGGGCATTTAAACGCGCACCAGCAGCGGGCATTTAAATAAACTCCGGCCAGCTCAAGCTTACCACTATTTCAGAAGTCCGGCGTTTAAAGGTTAATAGCACTTCACTCAAATCCAACCCAAAGCATATGGGTGAAGTGATATTGAACTTACTTATGGAGCTGAGCCCTTCTTGAGAACACGCCAATTGTGCAGCCACTCAAAAATTTTCCAGCGTTTTATGGTACCCGAAGGTTCATTACTGTTTTCACAAGAGCCCTCCCCTGAGCCAGATCAATCCAATCCATACCATCCTATCTCTCTATATTTTAATATTGTCCACCCAGTAGTCTCTTTCCTTCTGGCATTCCCACAAATATCTTATATGCATTCCTCTCATCCCCCATTCATGCTACATGCCCTGCCAATCTCATCCTCCTTGACTAGCGATAGTGAACACAGTTCAAAAATAGAAATAGGNGGGGGGGGGGGAACTTCTGCAGTACAGGAGATCTGGTTGTAAAAGTATTTATTGTTATTCTAGCAAACAAAGCATTGGGGGTGGGGAGCACTCAAAATAGTTGCTATGTTAGCATACCTTTTTATGGATTGTGCTCTCGGCCCTGTCGGTCATTTTAAATTTGGTTAATGTAGATGAGTAGAATTAGCAGCAGCACTGTATCATGGTGTCATGGCAGCCATGTTGCTCACCAATAACATGGGAGTTTCATGGGGCTGGTTCAAAATGGAATGATGTGGAATAGATTATGAGTAAGTGAAAATGTCGTATTTGCCTTTCCGTCCGTGAAAGTATGGAAATGGGAACCATTACACTGATGTGCATGTGCGCTATTACTAGAGGTAAGCATATGCTAAGACCCCAAGTAAGTCTGATTCCTTGATACTAAGGGAACAAAGCATGCACATGGCCTTTAGTGCGTGTAAGGAGTATTAGAAGTTGCTGAAAGGATTTTGTGGAAAATGTGTATCTTGGATTAGGGAAAATGCATATACCATGTTAAATACCCTTTAATACATTGCGGACCGGACGGGCCATATGGCCCTCTACGTTTCCAAGCACTGCGGACCGGGCGGGCCATATGGCCCTCTATGGTCACGTTATGTTGCAAAACGCTATATATCGCTATGTGGCTTCGTTGAAT